TTCGAAGTATTTTGATCAATGTAGATATATTCTGGAAATGGCAATTCCAATATTTCGAGAGAATTAGATTTTATGGACACTCGGACTTTACGAGGACCAGAAGGAAGACTTCAGACTTTACTACAAAAGTCATTCAGACTCTATATTAAGCATATGAAGAACTTCAGACTTTACTTCTAAAAGGTTCAAACCTTACTGAACACCCATACTGACTTAATTTATGGATGTGAAGCAAGAATCAGAAGTTATCCAGATTCTGAAACTACTCAGAATGTACATAACGGCTAGTGATCTGACGTGGATTTAACAGAAGGAAAGTTTTGATTGATTCGATCTTAAAAGGCTATTTTGCAAGGAAAGTTTATAATGCAAAATTGTCCTAAATCGATTGACAATCATACATTAATGCAAGTATATCTCACAACGGATAAAGCTCTACTAATGAAAACCAAGATTTCGGTTGTATGGGCGACCAGATTCAGCGGGATTCAGATTTTGTCAATCAGCGGCTACTCAATCGATTTTATACAAATCTGTTCAAGTTGAAGATTGGAAGATGATCCTCTAAAGACTGTCTAACGGCTAGTTTGGAAGTGGAAGAGTATAAAAGAAGATTAACGAAGAGCAGAAGGTAGAACAAAGTTTAGAATCTACAACTGAGATTTTGAAGGATATTTTGTAAGAGTGATTGTGTGAGATAGATAGTTCTATCATTCACAAAGTGATATCACTCAGAACTTGTAATCTCTCTTGAGCACATAGTGGAATCCAGCCTGTGGGTTGTCAGCGTGAGAGAGTGGACGTAGGCTTGATCTAAGCCGAACCACTATAATTTCTTGTATGCAGTTTTTTTATCCCTAAACTCTTATTCTATCTTTTATACTGCACACTAGTACATTGACCATTAAATCTGTTCAGAATCTGAATGTCTTTCAGACTTTAATCTTGATCATTTGTTTCCGCTTTAAAAATTAATCAAAAGTTTTAGATCACATATTCACCCCCCTCTAGGTGATCCTTGCTAGCTACATCATGTTTGTCGCGACCGAACTCCCGAGCCCTTTTTATCGAACATGCAAAAAAGGGGGGGTTCGCCTGGTACGTGCTAAGTCTAGTTTTGGGACTTAACTCGGGCTCTCCCAAGCCCATACCATATCGCGACTTAGGGTTTAAGTTTCTTAACATGCCAGTGATTTATATCAAGGAGTCGCCACTAATCGATTTGGGGTGGGCCGATTAGAAACCCAAATAGGGTGATGGGAGAATCACCCTATTCCTGCGAACCAGAGATTAACTGAGTTCGGGGACTTGGTTACACTAGTTGGATAACTAATGCCCTTTCGGTACCTTTTACCCCTGTTCATTTCGAAAACATTTGTCGGAATTTGGATTGATTTTAGGACCTTTCTCCTAACATGTGAGGTGATCAAGCGAGTGCATAATCGAAACGATTAGCGATCAGGGAACACAACAATGCATGCAACCTAAGGTTCTAACCTTAACTAAGTCGAGATGACATTCAAAACACAATTACTCATGCAATTGTATTAAAAAACATGCATAATGATACAGCGATAATAAAAACTAACATGCAAAATACTACCGCGCAACCTCAGGCTTGTCTAATTCAAACAAGACAAAAAAACATGCATAATAATACAATAAATTAAAACACTTAGATATAACATATAAAATTTAAATTTAAATAAAATTTTTTTTTTCGGAAGAAAAAAAAAATAATAATACAGAAGAAGGAAAAAAAAGAAAAAAAATAATTTTTTTCTTAAAATTTTTTTTAATTTTTAATTTTTTAAATAAAATAAAAATAATAATATAATATTAACCGGGTCGGGTCGGATCCGACCGGTCAACGGATTCGACATCTAGCGTTGACCCGGGTGATCGGGTCAATCCGGTCGGAACTCGACGGTCAACGGATCCTGACCGGGCGGATCGGCCAATCCGGTCGGTTACGAACCGACCGCCTGACAATCGGATCCGACCCGGGTCGGAACCGCATTATCTGGGCCGGTCGGAACCGACCCGAGTCAACTGACGGATCCGACCCGGGCGTTGATTCGCCTGTCGGATGCTGGGATGGTCGGGTCGAATCCGACCCGAACAAACAGGGCCCAGGTGGGAAGTGGGGCGCGCGAGGCCAAAATTGGCCGTCCGGCCGCCGACCCAGTGCCGCCGCCGCCCCCAAGTCGCCCGACTAGGACCGCCCGAGGCCGTGCCACTCACCCGAGCCGCCGTCGGACCACCGTTCGCCGGTCGGCGATGAAACAAAAACCGGCGTGGTTGAGACATTTCGTTGAACGCCCGGCGGGCGCGTGAAAAACGGGGATTCCGACCTCCTCCGGCGATCCGGTCGACCTCCGGCTTGGGTTCACCTCCGACGGCGACTAGGAGTCGGGGCCGACGACGGTATGGGCCGGATTCGCGCGAAACGGCCGGCGCGAGTCCCGGCCAAACCGAGCCAAAATCGGGGGAAAACGGGGAGCTTCGCGGCGGGGGCTCACGGTCGGCGGCGCGTCTGGGCGGCTTCCGGCAGTCCGGCGGCGTCGACGACCGCCGCTGGTTCTTCTTTAGCTCCGCGGACTCTCGGCTCCCTCTCTTCTCTCTGTTTCACTCTCTATTCTCTCTCTGGTCTCTCTCGGTTTCTCTCTCTCACTGTTTTTTTCTGCGAAAATCGTCGACCCACTCTCTCTCTCTCTCAGGCCGCCGTCGGCTCGGCGACGGGGATGGATGGCGAGGCGCGGTGGCCGCCGGAGGCTTCCTGTCTCTCCGGCTCACGCTCACGCTCTCTCTCTCGTATTTTCCTCCAAAATGGCCGACCGCCTCTCTCTCTCTCTTTCTGTCTTTCATAGCCGACGACGACGTGTCTCTCTGCCTCTCTGCGTCGGCGTGACGACGGCCTGCACCGGCCTACGCCACGCCACGACTTTCGTGGCCATTGCAGCCGGTGCGAGAGAGTGGCGGGGTCGGTGCGAGGAGGGTGCGAGAACCGAGAGGGAGGAGGGATAAGGAGAGGGGAAATGGGGAGGACGGGACCGGCCATTAATGCCGGTCCGTCGGCGTGCGTAGCTCATCCGCTCCTCCTGCCGACGGCGACGGCGAGCAGCGCGCCGCGTGCGTCACGCCGTCGCAGCGGGGAGAACAGGGGCGAGGAGAGCGGCCGCGCGGGGAAGAGAAGGAAAGGAGGCTAGGCGGGCCGGGCCCAGCCGCGGGGAGAGAAAAAAAGAAAAGGAAGTGGGTGGGCCCGCGCGAAAGGAAAAAAAGAAAAAGGAAAAGGGGCCGGGCCCGAGGAAAAAAGGAAAAAAAGAAATGGGCCGGGTCGGCCCAGCTCCGACTGCCCGACTCGATTTTTTTTTTAAAAAAAATTAAACTCTATAATAGACTCTATTAGTGCAAATGTGCCTAATTTCTATATGCAATGCATTTAAATTGAAATATTTTTGTTTTAGGAATTAAAGAAAATTAATTCCTAAATTTTGTGTAATTAATTTTGGGCAAATCAAAAATAGGTGTCAACAATGTTCTTCTCGCTTAAGACTTAAATTTAAGTAAATGTCGATAAACAATTCAAATTACAGTTGGTATATGAAAGCATCTGCTATTCTACTCAAATTAAGGTTGGTATACATAATTGACGTGGCTGAGCCCATGTTAGCCACTTCTGTGGGCTCAATCATCACAGCCCAAACAGAAGCCTACTGCTAACTCAAAGAGGGTAAATTCAGCCTCAAACAGGCATAGACCATGCCTGCAATGGCGGTTCGAAGCCATAACCCACGATCCCATGTTGGATAAGGATGAAACCGGGAATATCCTATCGACTTAGAGACTATTTGTCAATTTATTGGTAGCAGTTGGGCTGCTAAATCCAATGCCAGAAACTGATGGCGACACCCAAGATCTTAAGTTCCTTGGACCTTAGTGAAGCACGTTTTTTATGGTTCCATTTATCTAACAATGTTGTCTCTCTGTCTCTCTGAGACAAGTAAATGACACAAATGGTCCGTGAATTTTGGCACAATGTGAAATGTAGCCCATGAACTTTAAATTTATTCAATATGGTCCATGAACTTTAACCCAATATGAAATGTCGTTCCTGTCCAGATAATATTGAATATTTTCATATAGTTAAAGAACCACATTGAATAAATTAAAAGTTCAGGGATGACATTGCATATTGGGCTAAAGTTCATGGACCACATTGAATAAATTTAAAATTCAGGGGTTACATTTCACAGTGAATCGAAGTTTGGGGATCATTTATGTCGTTATCACCTTTAAGACAGGTGATTTTCTTTTCGAGCGTGAAGATAACCAGAGCCAGAAAGCAGTAGTACCAACATTGGAGCAGAGCAGGACATGGATAGATCAAACGAATACCGATGAAGCGATGGATCCCAAGTGTAGAATGGCGAGAGGAGGAGGGCTTATGCAAAGATCATGATGGCTTGAAAAAAACAAAAGGGAAAACTAATGTCTTTGCGGCAGAAACTTGGGCTCCAGATAGCAAGGAAGATGAATATTGAAAATTCACACGTTGCATTGGATGTTACCGGCGTTATGCTTGCCTTGAAACAATCTTTTGAAGATAGATACGGTTCAAATTGAAAAATCATGGATTCCGTGTCCATATTTTTGGGAAGAGCAACAAAGCGGCAGAAACTTGGTCTTCTGATAGCAAGGAAGATGAATATTGAAAATTCGCACATTGCATTGGATGGTACCGACGTTATGCTTGCCTTGAAACAATCTTTTGAAGATAGATACGGGTCAAATTGAAAAATCATGGATTCCGTGTCCATATTTTTGGGAAGAGCAACAAAACTCTTTACCTACTGGCCAGGTCATAACATTTCGTCGCTTCATCATTTCTCTATCAGATTCATAGTCGGTGGAATCCAAAAGTAGTTGTTGTCGTCGTCTTCTTTCAGGGAAGTACTTCAATCAAGGCCACTTTCTACAACATGATAAAAGCGTTTTTATTCGCTTTTGGCACTTGGCAAATGAAAAAATATCATTCAATTCGACAAATTTAGCCGCCCCACAAGGGTGCAACTGCCCACGCACTACAAGCCACGAGATATAAGAATCCCTTTTTGCCTCGTCCTTCGTCCCATGCAATGCTCAATGCTTAACACCATGTCCACTGAAACTGCATCCTCCAATCTCACCGTCAACCCTTTGGAATATCTCCAGATCACCCTCAATCCGGATGGCACTCTCGACCGCGACCGCTTCATCTTTCCGGACACCTCCGCCGCACCCGATCCCACCCCGCCGACCGGTCCAGTCCTCTCCAAGGACGTCCCAATCAACCCTTCCCACAAAACTTGGGCCAGGATCTTCCTACCCCACCATGCACGATCGTGCTCGGAGGAGAAACTCCCCCTCATAGTTTACTACCATGCCGGGGGATTCATCCTCGGCAGCCCGGCCTCGAACATATTTCACGAGTTCTGCATCACTCTAGCGCATGAGCTCTCCGCTGTTGTTGTGTCAGTGAAGTACCGCCTTGCCCCAGAGCACCGGCTCCCCACGGCATATGACGACGCGGTGGAGGCGCTGCACTGGGTTAAAACCACCCAAGACGAGTGGCTTGCGAACCACGCCGATATCTCCACGTGCTATCTCATGGGCACCAGCGCAGGAGGCAACTTGGCCTTCCATGCAGGGCTGCGCGCATCTGCGGTGCACAAAGACCTCGAGCTGTTGAAGATCCGAGGGCTGATACTTCACCATTCCTTCTTCGGCGGGACGCGGACGCCCTCGGAGCTGAGGCTGGCAAACAACCACATGCTGTCGCTGGCGACCAGCGATCTTATGTGGGAGCTGTCGCTGCCGATTGGGGTTAACCGCGACCACGAGTACTGTAATCCAACGGTAGACGGTGGTTCCAACCTCTCGGAAGGGGTGAATAAGATGAGGTCGCTGGGGTGGAGGCTACTGGTCATCGGCTGCGACGGAGACCCGCTGATCGATCGACAGGTGGAATTAGTGAAACTGTTGAAAGAGAAGGGATTGAAAGTGGTAAGCGATTTCACGGAGGGTGGATATCATGCGATTGAGATCATGGAACCGGACAAGAACGAGCCTCTGGTCCAAGCCTTAAAGAGTTTCATGTCGACGCCCGTGACTGGTCAGGGCGTGGTCGGTCCACCGGATGGAGTGTCCACGCAAAATGTGGCCTGAGCTTTCTCTTTGTCTATACACCGTATGAAATTAAAAGGGTCGCGACGGTTCTAGAGCACTCCATCGTGCATTCAGTCGTTTCTCGTCTAAATTGGTTCTCTATCGCCTTTAAGGCTTAAGAATATCCATCTAATGAATAATGTGGTTTCTCGTTGGTTCACCATTTTTCTTCCCTTGAGAATTAATACTCCATCTTTATTGAATCATCACGGAGTTGTATGGGTGAAGAGCTTCATTGCTGTTCTGAAGTTGATTCTTAGTCTTTTTGGTTCCGGTAGATGAGATTACGAAGGGACACTATGATAACGTGACGTATTCTTTCTTATCTGGTGCTCGCTCATTAAACACGATCCTTTTTGCTTAAAATATCCACTTATAGGTCACTTTATTAAGTGACATTTTGGATACCAAGCATTTACGATGGTTTTTTCATGCCATCCAATCGAATGTCGATAGATTGTTAACTTTTTATTTTACTCAAACATAGGTCATGATTAAAATGGGAAAATTACCAAAAAAAGTCATCAACCTATTGCATTTGTGCCAATTCAGTCCTAAACCTTTTAATTTGGCCAATTCAGTCCTAAACCTTTTGCAAACCAGCCAATTCAGTCCTTTTGGCCGGCCGGCGCTGACGTGGCCGCCGGCCGGCTGATGTGGCGCCGGCCGGCGTCCACGTGGCAATATTTTAATATTTTTTATTATTATTTTCGAATTTTTTTTTCTTTTTTCTTTTTTTTTTCTTTTCCTTCTCCCCCCTGGCCGGACAGGCCAGGGGGGAGGCTCGCCGGCGTGGGCCCAGCTCCGACGAGGCGAGCTGGGCCCTCGCCGCCGCTGGGCTAGGGCGGAGCTCGCCCTGCCATGGCGAGCTCTGCCTCGCCAGATCTGGGCGAGGGCGGAGCTCGCCCAGCCATGGCGAGCTGGGCGAGCGGCGAGGGCCCAACTCGCCATGGATGGGCGAGCTCCGCCCTCGCTCAGATCTGGCAAGGCGAAGCTCGCCATGGCTGGGCGAGCTCCGCCTCGCCGGAGCTCGCCATGGCAGGGCGAGCTCCACCTTGGCTGGGCGAGCTCCGCCCTCGCCCAGCGGCAGCGAGGGCCCAACTCGCCTCGCCGGAGCTGGGCCCTCGCCGGCGAGCCTCCCCCCTGGCCTGTCCGGCCAGGGGGGAGAAGGAAAAGAAAAAAAAAAGAAAAAAATTCGAAAAAAATATTAAAATATTGCCACGTGGACGCCGGCCGGCGCCACGTCAGTCGGCCGGCGGCCACGTCAGCGCCGGCCGGCCAAAAGGACTGAATTGGCTGGTTTGCAAAAGGTTTAGGACTGAATTGGCCAAATTAAAAGGTTTATGACTGAATTGGCACAAATGCAATAGGTTGAGGACTTTTTTGGTAATTTTCCCTGATTAAAACAGATAAACTAAGATAAAGTCTGTAGTCGAATCCATTTCTCCGACACTATCTCATATCATAGCGCTAGTAGTATCGTCCAACTTCTTCCTCCTTTGGATTCTGTTAAAAGATGGGGAAAATACCAAAAAAGTCCTAAATATATTCACTATGTGTCAATTCAATACTAAACCTTTCGATTGCAACAATTTAGTTATAAACCTTTGCCACGTTATGCCAATTGAATTCATCCGGCTAATTTTGGTCATAAATTGCTTACATGGATGTCAGCCGTTATTGTGATACGACCGGCGTTGAAATAGACATTTTTTAATAATTTTTTTTATAAATTTTTTTATTTACCTTTTATTTTTGGACTGAGGGCTAGCAAGTGTCGCTAGCCGACCCTTGCCAACTGCAAGCGAGGGCCAGGACACCCTCACCTAGGCACTCACAGGCCACTAGGCCCTTGCCCAGATATGGCGAGAACCGCGATACCCTTGCTATGGTCGACGAGGGCCGGAATGCCTTCGTCGGCCACAGTGAGGGCATTGCACTCCTTGCCCAAAGCCGGTGAGGGTCGCAACAGCCTCACCCAATGTGGCAAGGGTCGCCGGCCTTAGTTTAAACAAAAAAAAACGGTAAAGAAAAGAAAAGAAAAAGATTATTAAAATTGTCCACGCCAGCACCGGTCATGTCACGTAGGACCATCGACGTCCACATCAGCGATTTTCGACCTAATTGGCCAGATAGACTCAATTGACAAAATATGAAAAGGTTAAGGACTATATTGGCACAATTGAAAGGTTTATGATTAATTGATATAAGTTAATAGATTTAGGATTTTTTTTGTATTTTTCCCATTAAAAGACCATTTAAAGAATTTATGGACTGAGCATCCTCTATTTCCTATATTTAGTGAGAAGCACCCCCCGCCCTCCTCCCTCTCTCTCTCTCTCTCTCTCTCTCTCTCTCTCTCTCTCTCTCTCTCTCTCTCTCTCTCTCTCTCTCTCTCTCTACCTTTTTCCAGATTTTTCCTCTTTAGATTTTTTCCTTTCTAGCCATCACTTCCGGAGGTATAAGAACCCCACAAGTGTACAAATGTCATAACTTTTATAGGCATTCACTTGAGCGACATAACTTTTTTTTTCTCAAATTAGTTGAGTGACATGAACAACGTTTACTTGAGTGTTATAACTTTCAATCAATCACTCGAGTGTCATAACTTTTAAAGATGTTCACTCTAGTATCGAAAATCCGACGTAACATGGCAATTGTAGTGAATATTTTAAAAAATTATGACTGTCAAGTGATCAATTAAAAAATTATATGGCACTCAAGTGATCAATAAAAGATTATGATACTCAAATGAGTAACATACGAAAGTTATGGCACTTGTATCATTTTCCCCACTTCCAAATTTCTTAGAAGAAAAATCAGCGAAATCAGGTTGGCAACTTGCCTAAAAGATTTCTGGTGTCCTTCTCCCACTTCCAAATTTCTTTGAAGAAAAATCAGCGAAATCAAGTTGGGAACTTGCCTAAAAGATGTCTGGTGTCCTTCTCCCACTTCCAAATTTCTTTGAAGAAAAATCAGCGAAATCAGGTTGGCAACTTGCCGAAGAGATGTCTGGTGTCCTTCTCCCCACTTCCATTTTTCTTTGAAGAAAAATCAGCGAAAGTAGGTTTGCAACTAGGTTGGCAACTTGCCTGACACATGTCTGGTGTCATTTTCCCCGCTTTCAAATTTCTTTGAAGAAAAATTATCAAAAGTAGGTTGGCAGCTTGTGTAATAAATGTCTAAAAATGAAGGCGCGAAAATATGTAATTGAAGAGGTAAATAAGGGATTGAAAAGATTTAAATTAAAAAAAATTTGCTTTAATACCATATGTGATTTGATGAGACAACTGTCAACTGTTCTAAAATCTTAAGTTATTAAATAAATATATGATTTAATATTTAAATATTCTATTAAGGCATGTGGGAGTGACGTGAGGAATGCGTGAGTGTAAAATTAGTGTGTATTTGCAATAAAACTTAGGATCTCTAAGATACTATGTGATATTTGGTGAGACCACTATCGATTGTTTTAAAAACTTAAGTTATCAAATGAATGTGTGATTTAATATTTAAATATTCTAATAACATGTGTGTGATGTGGGGAACGAGTGAGTGTGAAATTAGTGTTTGTATTTGCAATAAAAATTTAATTTAATGGTGAAAGTATTTTTCAGTTGCTATTTTGAGGGATATCAAGTACAGGGCTCGCTCAACAAGCGGTAACAGAGCCACTTCTGCACCCAACAATGTTGGGGAAATTCTTGAAGTCAATCTGTTTTTCATAGGCAGAAATCTCACATATCTTGGCTGCAATTGGGAGACCAGAATATTGGCTTCTTTTTAAAATCTTTGAAGGCAAAGTTCTTTAGAAGCACTATTCGAGTCCTTTACGATTCATCTGGAAATAGGAGAATTTCTGTACTGGTGGTTCAGTTGAAGAGCTTCAATCTATTTTCATAAAGCTTTGTTGCTTGAGCCTGTCACTGAAACTGAGACTAAAAGCACTACTTGGGCTATGAAAGGAGAAAAGAGCCCTGGGCTTATACTGCTCGCTTCTTTAAAAAGTCATGGAATGTCATTGGTTTTGACGTGGTGGGTGCTGTTACAATGGTCTCTCACTCGTTAAGGATACTTGGTGCTGTAAATTCCACTGTCATTACTCCAGTTCCTAAAGTGCCTGATCCTGGAAAAATGGGAGGATGTCAGGCTTCTTCTTCTTCTTCTTCTTCTTCTTCTTCTTTTGGCCGTGATATCATTTATAAATGCATCACGAGCATCTTGGCTTAAAGGTTGAAGAGTGTTTTATCTGATTTTGTCGGCTTGAACTGAACTGCTTTCATTAGTGCAAGAAGAATTGTTGATAATGTAATGCTGGCTTGTGAACTTGTTCATAATTACCATGGGAAAGGGATTTTTCCTAGGAGCGGACGTTATGAAGGCTTTCGATTTTGTCAACTGGAATTTCATCCTCAAAATTTTCAAGGCTCAAAATAAATCAAACAGTCCAAGAAAACTGACGCACAGACAAGGGTCCGTAAAACACCAGTGATCGCAAAAGCGAATGGGAAAAAAAATTATATAAAGCCGTGAAGCTCTTGAGAATATTACACACCATTCACTACTGGTGTTGCTTTGCACTTCAGTACATGATCCATGAAGATGAAAGTACATTTCCTCCATACATATATACAAACACAAGAAAAAGAGAAGGAAAATCCATATTCTTTTATAGCACGAACTTTGGCACGCGTACAAAGCGCACAGATAAGAAAAATTTACTCGGTTTCCTGATTAACTCAAAAGAGGCAAAAGCCACCTTACAAAAGTAAAATGCATATTTTTGTGTTTAAAATATACGAAACAAAACAAAATAAGATGAAAATTGGCTCCAAACTGACAAATAAATGGACCAAAATTTCAAAGTTGGTAGAAGGAGAATGCCTGATTTCTGAGATTATCTAATAGCTCTTGTGAAGCAAAAAAAAAATAAAAATTATTGGACTATCAGAGAGAGTGCAAACTCTTATTAGGTAGCTAGTTAATTAATTAAGATCCATTGGTCTGGTTTATAATATCTTTTACAATAATGTCCACGTCAAAAAAACTTATGCGAATGCATATATATATAATATATCGTTTCCCTCCTCGATAAGTTAAGTGAGACAGCAGGAAAACGTCCGTTTAGTAGTGATCTATAGAAGTATACAATTAAGTTTGATT